AAAAAAAAAAAAGATCACCATAACTGACTGTGGACAACTGTAATAACTTCAACTTAATGTTTCAACCACCAAACCATTCCTTCTGTAGCTCAGGAGAGCCCCCCTCCACTCCATTTGCTCATAATATCCTGTAATCTCTGTGCTCTCACTGCAGTTCCTTGGGTTGCATATTTTCCTTATTTCTCTCCATGTCTAGCTGGATTGAAGAATCAAGTTTATGATTATGAAATAAAAACTAAATAATAAAAGAAATATTAGCCAGGTGTTGTTGCTGGTGCCTATAGTCTCAGTTCCTCAGGAGGCTTGGGGCAGGAGAATTGGTTGGACCTAAGAGTTTGAGGTTGCTGTGAGCTTAGGCTATAGCCCTGGCAATAGAATGAAACTCTGTCTCATAAAAGAAAATAAAGTATAACAACTCTTTACACAGCATTTACACCGTATTTGGTATAAGTAATCTAGAGATAATTTAAAGTATAGGGGAGGATGTGCATAGGTTATGTGCAAATGTGACGATACCATTTTATACAAGGGACTTGAGCATCCTTTCATTTAGTATTCATGGGGAGTCCTGAAACCAATCCCCCATGGATACCAAGACACAACTATATTTCCAACATAACATGCCTGTGACCAAATTCTTGATCTTCCCCCTCCAAACCTGCTCCTCCTTCAGCCTTCTTCATTTTAGGAGATGCAGGTCAAAAACTTTGAAGTCGGCTCAGCGGCTAGGGAGCTGAGTGGGATCAAACCCAGCTTGGGCCTGCCAAACAACAACAACTTACAACAACAAAAAAAGTCAGGCATTATTATGGTGGGTGCCTGTAGTCCCAGCTACTTGGGAGGCTGAGCAAGAGAATTGCTTGAGACCAAGAGTTTGAGGTTTCTGTAAGCTGTGATGCCACAGCACTCTACTGAGGGTGACATAGTGAGACTCTGTCTCAAAAAAAAAAAAAAAAAAATACAACTTTGAAGTTATCCATGACCATTTCTTTCTCTCTCTTGGTATCTCCAATCTGTTAACAACTCCTATCAGCTCTATTTCTATCAAAACATAACATAAATCCAGTCACTTCTCACCAGGCTGCCTATTAACAGTCTGGACTATACAACAATAGCAGACTCCTAACTTGTCTCTGGCTCCCATCCTAACCCATACATCTAGTCTCCAAACTGCAGCTAGAGTGATTTTTTTTTTTGTCTTTTTTGAGAGAAAGTCTCATTTTGTCACCCTCGGTGGAGTGCTGCGGCACCTAAGCTCACAGCAACCTCAAACTCTTGGGCTCAAGCCAATTCTCATGCCTCAGCCTCCCAAGTAGCTGGGACTACAGGTGCCTGCCACAACGCCCAGCTACTTTTTAGTGATGAGGTCTTGCTCTTGCTCAGGCTGGTCTTGAACTCATGAGCTCAGGCAATTCACAGGCCTTCTAAGAGCTGGGACGACAGGCATGAGCCACTGCATCCAGCCATAAGGTTTGTTCTCTTATTTCACACATATCTCCTCTCCAATATGAAGAGAGGACTTCCCTTTCTACTAAAATGGCATCCCAACACCTTTCACCTGGTTTTCCAATAACAGGAACTCTGTCTTTGTTTATAGCTCTATCCTTAGAGCTTAGAAATACATCAGATATAAAGCAGATCCTCAAAATGTTAAATGCATCAATGAAGTACCCAATATTTTATTTTTCTCCAAACATTGTGAATGATGTTCTTCTTTACTTCTAAATGACCAGACAACTCTATGTATCACTGTAATTCAGCCAGTATTAGCTCTTAGCAATACATGGAAGTTGTGAAACTCTATCTAGCCCAGAAGTCAAAGTTGGTTTCTGGTCAATTCCATGCATGTGTTTTTTGGGGAAAGCCTGAGGTGTCACCAGAATCAACCATCAACCAATTCAGTCTCTAGTAAGTGGGGAAAAAAGAGGTCTGGCTGACTTATCACCCAGTTATGATAGAGTAAGACTCTAGAAACTGATGTTGGTTTAACTGTACCTGTCCCTGTTGGGTCACCTCCTTGGATCATGAAGTCTTTGATGATTCTGTGGAATTTGGTGCCATTGTAGTAACCTCGACGAGCCAACTCAGCGAAGTTCTTACAGGTCTTTGGAGCGTGCTTCCAGTATAGCTCCAGCACAATTATTCCCATGCTACAGGGAAGAGGACAGCACAGCTTCAGTCAAGAATAAGCCCACAGCAGATAGCCTCTAAAGCAGGCATCCTCAACCTACGGCCCACGGGCCACATGCAGCCCGCCGAGGACATTTGTCCGGCCCACCGGCTGTTTTTGCTGCCACTGTCTGTCCTGCTTAGCAGCCGAATCGTCCCAGGGCCTGCAGTCCCGCCCTCCAACAGTCTGAGGGACAGTGAACTGGCCAGGAGGTTTAAACAGGGGTTTAAAAAGTTTGAGGACCCCTGCTCTAGAGTAACTGGGACTACAGATGCCTGCCACAACATCTAGCTAGATTTTTTTGTTTTTAGTAGAGATGGGGGTCTCACTCTTGCTCAGACTGGTCTCGGAACTCCTGAACTCAGGCAAACCACCCACCTGGGCCTCCCAGAGTGCTAGGATTACAGGCATGAGCCACAAGCCCAGCAACAACTCAAAATTCTAATACCTTACATATAAAATGAAGTCACTAATCACTTGAAACCAATATAACCAACTTCCAAAGAAGAAGAAAATCCTTACATTTAATTTTTTTTATTATTTATTTTATTTTATTTTATTTTGAGACAGAGCCTCAAGCTGTCCCCCTGGGTAGAGTGCCGTGGCATCACAGCTCACAGCAACCTCCTATTCCTGGGCTCAAGCGTGTCTCCTGCCTCAGCCTCCCAAGTAGCTGGGACCACAGGCGCCCACCACAACGCCCGGCTATTTTTTGGTTGCAGCTGTCATTGTTGTTTTGGTGGGCCTGGGCTGGATTCGAACCTGCCACCTTAGGTGTACATGGCTGGTACCTTAGCCACTTGAGCCACAGGCGCTGAGCCACATTTAATTTTTAGATTTTAAAAAAGACATAAAAATATTGGGAGTTTATATTTATACATGCAGAAGTTTCTGGGTGGGGGTAGAGGATGGGCAAATAGAGACAGAAAGATTGAATTTTTTTAAAACTTTGGTATTTTTGATCCATGTAAATATACTACCTACTTAAAAAATATTTTAATGGAAAGCAAAAAAGGTAGTTTGTGTGTGTTTGGGAGGGAGTACAACAAAAGCAAAACCCAATTACTCCAAAACCTTTGAACCTATCCCAATATGATGAGTGATTTTTCCAACCCAGTACTGCTAAAGGATAAAAGAGACATGCCCCTCCACTCCATCACTCGCCTAGATTTAAAACTCCAAGAATGTGAGAAGTGAGTCAACTCTGCATAGCCTGGATATCCTGTGCCTAACACAGCGCTTTGCAGTGTAAGTATACTATGAATATATGTGGAATGTATTAGAAAACAGCTTTCTAACAGCCTTTCTGCCTGCAATCCATCTTCTACACCCTTACCATTTCAACACAGGTTAACAGTTACTCTGGGCCAAGCACTATTCTGGATGATTGTTCCATTACAGAGCTTACATTCTGGTGGATATTTTTAAAATACAGGAAATAACCTTTTGGAATGGCAATCAGGAAGTCCTTACACAATTCTGAAATGTGCATACCTCAGCAATTTCAACTTCTAAGTATCTATTCTGTAGGAAAATTTACAAAAATGCCTAAGGAAACAGTATGTGCAAGGATGTTCATCTCATCATTTGCCATTAACAAAAAAACAGAAGCACCTTAAATGTCCATGAAAGAGAAAATGAGGCTCAGCGCCTGTAGCTCAAGTGGCTAAGGCGCCAGCCACATACACCTGATCTGGCGGGTTGGAATCTACCCCAGGCCTGCCAAACAACAATGATGGCTGCAACCAAAAAATAGCTGGGCCTTGTGGCCGGCACCTGTAGTTCCAGCTACTTGGGAGGCAGAGGCAGGAGACTCACTTGAGCCCAGGAGTTGGAGGTTGCTGTGAGCAGTGATGCCACAGCACTCCACCCAGGACGACAGCTTGAGGCTCTGTCTCCAAAAAAAAGATAAAGTGGCTAAAATGTCAACTATTTACACTATGGGTAGCTACATGCATTATTGAATGAAAGGCATATTAAAGAATAAACATATGCAGTATGATATGACTCCATTTTTGCTAAAAAATCAGACATAAGAGAGAAAGATGTTTATACATAGAAAAAGATCTGCATGGTGAACCAATAAACTGTTGGTAGTCTTTTCAGGGAGGGGGGTGGCTTTCACTTCTTTTCTACATATCTCTACATTACTTGAATTTAAATTTAAAAAAATACTGGGCCAGGCACAATGGCTCACATGATTATCCTGTAATCCTAGGACTCTGGGAGGCTGCGGTGGGTGGACTGCTTGAGACCAGCCTAGGCAAGAGCCAGACCATGTCTCTATTAAAAATAGAAAAACTGGCTCAGCGCCTATAGCTCAACCGGCTAGGGCACCAGCCACATACACCTAAGGTGGCAGGTTCGAATCCCC